GAAGCATACTTCGTACATTTACATGCCTTTAATTATTTCATTTATAAATTCATTGAAAAAACAACAAAACGAGTAATAAAGTGTACAATAAAGTACGATCAAATCCTTATATTATAATCGTATTGAACCTGAATAAAGTTAAAGGTGCAATCTGCCGATTGTCCTGCAGGTGACCGTATAAATCTGTCTTCTTACAATGCACTTAGGGCTTCACGATTACTCCAGAGCACTCGTAGATCTACGATGATTTTCAAGTGCTACTTAAGTTACCATGCTTTTGGGAAACAGATGTTATATTAAGATCAGTAGTACAATCGTTTTTACGAACTTCTTTAAAGCCCGGGATACACTGCACGATTTTTGGCTGTCCCAGACGAAAGATTGCCATCGTGAAACAATCGTGGCGATTTCTGTGATTGTGGCTCTTAATCGGTGGTCCTATGTCATACAGTGAGAGAGGTTCAAAGACGGGCGTTCTCCCGGTCTTGCGACCACAGATAGCCTACGATAGTTTTCTGACAGTGTCAGAAATTCAGCATGATCAACGCACAGTGTGTTTGCTGCAACGACCTGCGTCTACTCAGCAGCCAATGAAATTGCAACATGAAATGACGTATTGATCAACGCGACCAGCGGCGCTACAATTTCAATGCCATGGAGGCAAAAAAAAGTAGACGGTATACTGGTATTTGGGATACCCATAAAGAACAAATTCTTGTTGAGTTGTGGCAGCAGAGGGCATGTTTGTACGATGTGTCCTCTAGCTGCTATCATGACCGCCCCAAAAAGGACATAGCATGGTCAACGATCTATGTCGCAGTGTGATAAAGTAATGATCTTATAGGATTGCTAAAATCGTGCAGTGTATCCCGGGCTTTAGGCTTACAACGCTTTTGGGAAACGCAGCACTGGAGTAATCGTAAAGGCCGAAGAGCATCGTTGTCTGGAACGCAGCATTAGGTTAACATTTCAATAAACGAGTGTGTAGTACTACAATTACGAGCCATTCTATAAGGTGACATTTCAGCACTTGACAAAAGGATAGCGAATCCTAAGTGGGCAATTGATGTCAAAAACACGTCAATTTGACGTCCACACATTGATGTCCTATTCTAGACCACCAAAATAACAAGTAATAAATGTAAGAAACGTTTTATTCATCAAGCAACAATTCAAAAATACAAATGTAAACTGGATTTTGTATCCCCTGAAAGACTACAGTACAGTACAATACATGTAAATCAGGTAAAAAAAAAAAATACTACGGATGATAATGAATTACAGTTCAACACTAAAAAAAAAAAAAAAACCCGGAAATATTCCAGAATTAATTCTCACATTTTTGTGCACAATTTTTACAGAATGAGCATTAAATATTGTATCACAATGTGTCAATATAGTAGGATGCATATTGAGTAATTCCCAAAAACAGTATACACTATTTTTATTGTAACACTAAAATGATATCACAAATTAGGCAATTTCACTTTTTCCAAAATTAGTACTGCACGTTTCATTTTAAATGTACAATTCAAGCATTCTTGAGAATCACAACTTAACAACAGAGCATGTGTCAAGGGCCTGAAAGTCCAACTCCTGATTCAATTATACTCTATTCAGGTTCAACACATGGAAATGTAAAGCATAAGACACTGAATTCAAAAGCTCACCACACAGACATCATATGGCTTTGACAATCAAGGTATCTGGTCACATCACTGAGTACACATTACAACCCTCAACGGACACCTTGGCAATTGAATCGCCATTGGCTAGTATATTTTTTTGTTTACTCGCCAGACTGAAATACTATACTATATACATATATAATGTTTGTAATATGGTACAGCTTTTTAAATATTTGAAAGTACACTCTTAATATCAGTCAGTCAAGCATTATAATATGATAATCAAGTATTATTTAATAATAGAAGTTTAGTAATTAGAATTAAAACTTGGTAACCATGAACTTAGGACTGGTGCTTTTTTTGGTCATTCAGTGTTCCTGTAAAAAAAAAAAAAAAAGAACAATAACACTGATAAGATATTATTATTATTATACGAATTCTACTAATAAGAACAAAATAAAAACGCACTAAGGATTAATGAGCTACTGGATTCATGAATATTAATCAGGTTGTGTGCGTTTGCTCGAACTGATTCGCTGAAATCAAAACAGGGACGATAATACGAGAGGACCAGCCAATGAGATTGTCGTTTGCGCATTAGTTCCGCTTACTACAGGAAAAGCTGGCAGTTCTTAAAAGCTGAAGAATTCCAAAGGAACTATTTTTACAGGAAAATACAACAAAGTATATTGTTTACATGTATCGCATCAATTCTGCATGTTATGTAAGACTCTCTAGCTCGCTCTTGCTCTTTGCTCACAGTGAGAGAAAGCGACGGCGAGTCTTGCGCCTTCACACTAGAGTTTAAATGTTACGTCAAATACAAAAACACAGGTGCGCTGCACATCCATTCAAATGAACTGAAAATTATCAGATCGCTTGACGGAGAGTGAAACTCTGAAGCGCTCAGTCAGAGTGTTCTGTGAGTGAAAATATATCCGTGCCAATCATATACTTAGCCTCTAACTAACACACTGATGAGTAAAATCTGAGAATTTATTAGCCATTGGCTAATATTAGACATCATTTAGTCGCCCAGAGTGAAGATTTAGTCGCATATGCGAGTGATTTACTCGCAATGTAGAGGGTTGCATTACACTGAATATCCAAGGCATTCACATGAGGATGTCTCTTCATTGGCAACAAATTCCTATTGAAGCAAAAAATTTATAAATAAATAAATAAAAAAATTGTTCAGTCAAATTCACAAACAATTCTCCTGATTTGACCTTACCTTTTTGGTGACCACATTGATATATGACAAAGATATTCGGTCAAGACCCATTCACACCAGGAAAAATATCTATAACCATCACATTTTAATTGCCGCAACTATGACTGATTTCTCTATTACTGAACAATAAAAACAATAAATAGGTCAAGCATTTAAAGCAGCATATTATTTAACTGCAGCAACCACTTACTAATAATTGGCATTAGTTATTGTCCATGGAGTGAAAGAGTGGGGCTTCAGGACAGGTTAGAGAAGCTCTGTGCTAATGAATGGGAATACACTTACCCCTAACATAGATCTGGGACAGGATCCTGGAGTTTCTTGAGACAACATCATTCTCCTTGCTCCTCGGAAACCAGAGGTGCATCTCCGCTTTTGAATTCATGTTTGAGGAACTGGTGCCTTGACAGCAAACATAGAGGGTAAAAACAGATCAGATCAATAGGAAAACCTCCAATTCTAAAAATGTATATAAACAGAAATGACTAAATTCTGATCATTAGAACTTCTGAGATATCTTACACTTGTAAGTAACTTACATAGTCATTTCCTTCCAGATTCATAAGGAAAGGAATATTTCACAAGAAGAAAGAAAATCTACACACATTCTGCATTGGTACCTAAAAGATAAAATAAAATAAAAAAAAGTTAGCCATAAAAAAACTAAGATGTAATCATTTTGTAAACAACATTGCTTTTATTACTTATAAAGAATTATAAATACTTTAAATTAGGGATGCACCGATACTGGTATCGGTATCGGGCCCGATACTGGTCTCCTGTACTCATACTCGTTAAAATGCCCTGATACCAAACGCCGATACCACACAGCATGTGATAAGCACCATATTCAAACAAAGAAACACTGACAACAGAACAACAGACAGCAGAAAGGAGTTAAGGATGTCTACTACGAAGTATATGTATGCAATGAATATAATGTTAAACACTCAGTATTGCCTGTATAGCTGGTATGCGCGAGCTGATAAACAAAGCACGCTGAGTGGATTGAGCGCGCAGCGGCACAGATGCGCAAGCTTGTCGAGTGAATATATCTTTCTCACAGACATCACTGGAAAGTTTTTAGTTCGGTCGGACATGTCAAAAACAAGTAAGTAAAACAATGCACAAGTTACTGAGAGAGAGAGAGCGAGAGAGAGAGAGAGATAGAGAGAGCGAGCGCGCAATTCTGTTGTGTGATCTTTCATGTTCACTCACTTAGCACACGCATCATTTGGATTAAAACTAAATCGTAAAAATAAAACCATTCATAGGGGCATTCACTATAAACAATTTATTTTCAACCTTAGGCATACACGACTTTCTGGCGAAAGTGAAACTAGCAGCCTGTGTGAAATGCGCTAGGCTGTACTATTCTGCATCAGTACAAATACCTGCACGCGTTGCGCGTGTTTTGCTTGCTTGAGTGTTTCTGCATTATATGAGTGGCTTTGGAATATAAATCGCAGCACGTTTCAGATGAAAAAACGCGACTTCTATTTCTGAAAATATCACAGTTAGGAGATTTATAACGAGTGGTTCCCTGCATTATTACAGCCAAGCGCGTGATTACAGTATACTAAGCCACTGCAGTGGAGCAGCTCTAATGCTATTAAATTAAAGATGATGTACCATAGAGAAAAAAAATAAACAGTGAAAGTAACAAAAACTTGTAAAATACATTTTAATGGGCATAATTGAGTGTGAAAATAACCGAAGGATATACAGTGAAACCAAACATGATTCAGAGACCAGATATAATTTTTTATATTTTTTTACTAGTGGGTGCAGGACACTATATAGTTAATTTATGTAAGTGAGGATATCAAAATAAAGTAAACTGTGACAAATCATACCCAACAATTCTTCATACAGTGGACTAGCAGTAAAATTGATACAAATTTGGGTCCAAAAATTATTCAGACCGAGTCTGGGAAAAAAACTGAAGTTGAGGTTTGCATGAAGCTGGGTGACAGCATGCCCAGGAGACTACAGGCTGTCATTAAGGCTAAAGGTTGCCCGACAAAGTATTCATAGTTGTGTAAATACTGTCATACTAACAGCTGTCTGAATAATTTTTGGTTGATTGTAATCTATTACATACCTTTCTATCAAAATTATCTAACATTATCAAGATGAATTTGTTCTGACACAGTGTAACTGAGTTCTTGTCATATTTTATTACCATTTTCTAAACTATAGTGAATAAACTGTGATAATGTGAGAAATGTTGAAGGTGTCTGAATAAACTTTGGTGTGACTGTATCTATTTGATAAATTAAGTTAACCAACTAACATTATACATACCCTTTTGGTTTCTGTACCCAATATTTAAAAAAATGTACAAATGCAATAAAAATATCGGTATCGGTACTCGGTATCGGCAAGCACCAAAAATAAAAGTATCGGTATCGGGCGAGTACTGGAAAAAGTGGTATCGGTGCATCCCTACTTTAAATGTATATAAGTGAAGCAAGGGTGAACAAATTACAAATAAGTTCATGAAACTGACTTACATGTGTCCTATTCTTGAAGATTTCTGACGTGTCTTTATCGGAGTCTGGTCTGAGGATTTCTGGGAAAGAAGGAATGACAAAACCAGCATGCAGTGAATTCAACTTGAATTATAGTTACCAATGTACCTACAGTTAAAGCTGTACGTACATTTCTTTTGTTGAAGGCTGCTGATGGCATTCTGTTGGTACTGGTTCAAGAGTAACCACCTCCATCTCACTAAATTGGTTGAATTGGGTCCATTTTGTCTTGTTCTCGTTATCCATCCACTTCATTATATGAAGGACAGTTGAAGGCTACATTTCAGTAACACAAATAAAATGTTTAATTTAATAAAAATATACATACATAAATACATATAAAATAATTCAGTGTCAAACAGACTGTGAGACACATTAAAAAAACAAACCTCATGTAAGTGACAGGCCTCTTGCATCTCGTACGAAAATAAAGGCATTCAGAATAGGAACATTAAATATAGGTATGAACTCACCAGAAAGGGACCATCACCATCACACCATCTGGCTGTGTTTGTGGACATTTAGTTGTTTGGAGGACTGTCAAACATCTCTTTGACCTTAATAATGGACACAATACTTAGTGTTACTGTGGCAAAATATAATACACATAACTTATGCTTTATTTTGAATTTTTAATTATAACCAGGAAAATATAATATATACACATATTTTTATGCTTACTTTTCTAATATTAAAGTTTCATTATGTACAAATCAAAACATACTTGTAGTTAGGGCTGCACGATTAATCGAATACGATTGTCATGCGCATTTTGATAGTAATGCTGATTCTGTAATCAGCAGGAAATCATCATCACATGCTTTTAGACAGAGCAGAATTTACTACACATAGCAGTAGTTCACTGACAAGTTTTATGAAGTCGAAGAAATCGTTTGCGATAATGACAGCTGTTTGCATAGCTTCTCAGTGAACTACGGCTCTGTGAAGTAAATGCTGCTCCATCTGATAGCATGTGAAAATACCACATTTAATAACATATTTTTACTCCAAACTCACTTCAAAATGTCAGTCGCATGTTTGAAATAAATCCTTCTGTGAGATGATGTGGCTTCCCAGCAAGCAATAGCCGTCATTTCAACGTCTCGGTTAACTATAGACCCGATATAGTCCGGCTATGTGTAACCCACTTCTAGCCCAAATAAACTTGAATTTGGTTTCATGTCGTTTTTTGGCAAAATAACTTGTGAGATGTATGATATTCCATCAGGTAAGCAAAGTCAACAGCGTTTACAGGGTGTTTGGTTTCATTTCTTTGACATGTTCAATACGTAGCACGTGCGTAGCCACGATTTAGCTCGTAGTCAGAACGGCTATCTGTAGCCCACTTATAGTCAAACCTGATTCACTGTAGTTTTTGGCCAGGCAGCGCATGAGATGGTTGATATCCCATCACGTTCGCGGTGTCAATAATATCTACAAAGATATACGTGTCATTTCATGACATGGTCTATATGTAGCCACGATTTAGCTCTAAATTGGACGGGCTGTGTAGTCTGCTTTTAGCCCACCTGGCGAAATCAAGGCAATATGTGGTCTAATTTTAACGGCTTGGCTATAGCCCTATACCAGTAACCAGACCAGCGATGAGCATAGCCAAAATAGCCTTAAAATTGTTTACATGTAATTTTCGCCCCTTGCAGCTTCTTATCAAATTCAAGTAAACTTTTGAAACATTTAAATTAGCATTACTTATATTTTATTTTATTATTTTACAGCATTATTAAATATAGCATTATTTATTATGCCAAAAATAATGCTAATTTAAATGTTTCAAAAGTTTACTTGCATTTGATAATATGATGTCATGCATCCCACAAGCTGTTAAAGGTTACATTCATACACATTATATGATATTATTGATATTCGGCTGTCTTTCATTTTATAAATAAAAATGCAATTAAAATTCCCAACCACTAGATGGCAATTATAGCCCTACTGAGACATGACTACTGGCAACGCGAGACATGAGAGTTAGTAGAGATCAGTGTTGTGTTTTGAATTTTGTTTTTACACGAGAGAGCACTAAGTTTACCTGTCGGAGAGCAGCGGGCAAACAACAAATGATAAAGGACATTCCTACTTGGTCTTGTAAGTATCTGTGTTTTCGTTTTGACATGTGCTCATTATTTATCTATATTATTTGTTATCATGTTTAGGAACCGTGACATTTTAGTGAAGGGAGCAGATCGTAGTTGATAGTGATCCGTGACTAGGCCCACGGTTCAGCACGCAGGTGTTCAGAGGATTAATTGCTAAATTTAATAGAATAAAAGTTTTATTATTTGTACGTGTTTACAAGCTCAAGCTATTTTAAAATAGTGCAAGAAAAGGCGAAAGAGCAAACAACAGAACAAACACAGCTTTGACAAAGATTAATCCATATTAATTTATACAGTGAACACACTCAGAAGAATTGGAGAAACTGAGGAGGAGTTTAAACATCTGGAAAAGCGGTTGGAAATTGAAGAGATCCGGGGAGCAATGGTAAAAAAAAAATAAATAAGAACTCTCCAAAACAATATTTCCTCACTAAAGCTCTCATCTTTGACAAAGTCCATCATTTATTTTAATTATTATATTGAATTTATGACTGAACAATGGCTTGTTAGATACAGAGAGAGCATGAGCTAATTGAATAGAATATCTTTGTCATTGTACAAGTACAATACGATTTATTTTGAAACTTCCAAATTGATAGTAAAGCTTAAGAATACAAATGATTTAAAAATGGCAATATAAAATGATCAATTATAAAAAGTTTGCAGCAATATTAAAATAGTGCAAATAGCTCAGATGTGCAATGCAGCATTAAAACCTAAACAGTACAAACAGAAAACATAATGTAATAAAACGGTAGGGGTGAATTTATTATTCCATGTACATTTGAGGTTAATGTTTGTACTGGGCTACTTTTTAGTTAGAGCAGCTATCACTGTGTTGTTATGAAGTCAGTTGTGCCAGACAATTTTGGAGGCAGAGACAGATTGTGGGGGGCACTAATAGGGAAAAACTTAAACTGCAGAATTGAAGGAAGAAACCTCAAAGACAGTGCCAGAAGGATGCTGGACAGGTAAAGCCTACAAATCTTGCCACATTAATCAAACATTGTGGTGTCAATACTCAATAAGTTACAACGCAAATCAGACATTTAAAAAAAGAATTCCTTTACTGGTCATTTTGAAATGTCAAACTTTGTCCGCAATTGTTAACCACCTCAATCTGTATTATATTTTAGGGCTCACGTCCAAATTCAACATGAAGAGAGATATATATATATATATCTCTCTCGTTTTTGTTTTTAGTAGGCATCCAAGCAAAAGAGAATGACTCCCTGTCACAATTAGTGTAATTAAAGTAAAAAAATTATGTCAAACTTTTCTTGTGCTTTTTTTTATTTTTATTATTATTTGGCAGATGCTGTGATGACCAAATTCCCGGCAGCAACAGAGTTAGACTTGGCAGAGTTGGGAAGCATTTTAAACAAGAAATAAAACCAATAATTAATAACTTCCTTTAAGTTCACTGTTGGTTGTTTTATTTGTTAAAATAAGTAAACCAACAAAAGGATTAATCTTTTTTTTATGTTGTCATTTATGTTTTAATGTTAAGTGTGATAACATGCTCTTGATTTGTATTAGATTTTTTTTTCTTTTAAATATCTTAAGTTATCATTTTTCAGTTATCAAGTTTCATTTTTATATTTCTATTATCTTAAGTTGTTAAAATATTCCAGATTTTTTTTATCATAATATTTATATTTAAGTGTATTGTATTTATAAAATTTTATTTTGTCATTAATTCTTTTGTAGTTTTATCATTTTGTATTGTCTTAAGTTGTCCAAGTTGTTAAATTTTATTTTTCTTAATAAAAGCTGCATATTTAATTTGTTTGGATGGATTTCCATTTTGTTGTCTATTAGATGTATATATGTAGGCATTCATTAGCTGTCTATTGGGTGACTAGTCTATTCTTGGGCTATGGTTAGACGTCTATTAAATTTTCACTGACAGCCCAAATTTAGCCTTGTTTTAGCCTAGACGTCTGGGCTGTGTTTAGACGGCTAATAGACATCTTTTAAACACAAAATTGCTTGCTGGGTTCTTACACAGAATAAGGCACGCAACATATTTCATAGTATTTAAGCAGTGATAAATATAAATATACTTTATTTTAATGAAAATTATAATAATAAGAGCTCAGATAAACCGTATATTGCCTTAGTCGTGTGTTTATTAGTCACGTTGAATCAATGAAAGCAGTTGAATCTTCTGTTTATTCAGCTGCAGAGATTGCATTTTCTGGGTTTCTTCTGCGAGGCGTATTTGGAGTTTCAGCGCAAGAGCGCCCTCTGGATGGAGATTTACTGCTGATCACAGAACCGTGCTTCACTGAAAGATACGCATGACAATCGCAGCTTCTGTCAAATCGCGATCTCGATTCCATTTCGATTTATCGTGCAGTCCTACTTGTAGTCTTGATTCGTGAAAGAAATTCTCACTTTTACTGGCTTTAGGACGTAAAGGACACTCTCTTGTATGTGGTTCAAGTTCTCAAGGATGATTTACGAAGAATTGTCACAGTTTTTGAATGAGCAACTCAACCTCCTCGCTTTTTGAAATGTGAGATTTCATTTGACATATCTTTCACATCAATCAACATTTTTTGACAGTTTAAAGGGTCATTTGGTGTAATGAAATGTGTTTATGCGGTTTAAAGTTTATTTTCCACATACTGTACATTATTGTTTCTTCTCTATGCCCCGCCTTTTTGAAACGCGTCGATTTTTACAAAGCTCATCGGTCTGAAAAAGCGAGGTGTGCTGTTATTGGCCAGCGATCCAATGCGTTGTGATTGGCCGAATACCTCAAGCATGAGACGGAAATGTTACGCCCCTCACATACCGTTGATGCCGTGTCCGGTCGGAGCGACGAGACAAAAACATTAAAACCCATTACAAACGAGGCATTTGTTGCATCCAGTGGGGACATAATTACTGATTATAATGACTTATACTGTCTTTTTACGCGTTGCATTGTATCGCGCCGCGTAAACATAAAACTCTGTCTGCATTTGTGATCGGAGAAATGACAAACAACAAGTGCTACTCTACTGCCCAAAACTCACGTTTGAACTACACTAGCGTGAGCCGAAGCCCCGGCTTAGCGTGCGCTGAGGCCGGGATAGAGTGAGCTGAGGCGGCGGGATCGAGAACGGCGCGCCTGGCGGATGCAACAAATGAGCGGCAACTAGGGATGCAACGATTATAGATTTTGTTGGTACGATTATTGTCTGAGGAATGATCACGGTTTTACGATTATGACGATTATTATGCATTTATTCATTTCCCAACATTACTAATGTATAAAATCACATGAACACTCTTTAGATATTAAAGTGTTATTTATTGCTGGCTTTTGAAACAGAAATAACACAGTAACCAGCAATACAGCAAAAAATAATAATAGAAAAGACAAACAAAAGTCCATCCCTCCCACTGGAATTAAAAAAGGTGACCTCTGCTCCGTAAACATCCATGACAGTATTTCTCTTTTGAAAATAACAAATGGAAATAGATCGCAAAAGTATTTAATGTTTTCAGTTTGTACATTCTTTACATTTCTTTTGGACCTGGGGTAGAGAATTTGGAAACATGGTGAAAAACTATCCTGTTGGTTTTTACTTCTGAATAATACTACAACAGGGATAGTAAATAAAGTTAATGAAGTAGCCTATTATTAATATACGACTAATATTGACTTTGTCCCACAGGGGAAACTGTTACTAATGATGGAAATAAACTGAAATATTGTAATCAAGTGTCATCCATACTTAGCCTATTAATTTTAATAATCACTATAATAATTCATGTGATTTTACATGTGGCCTGAGAAAATCATGTCTATTATTTTGGTTTGTGAGATCGGAGATCGCGCTGCGCACCTGTACAAACATTCAGGAGGATTCAAACTTCTTGAGAATGCTGCCCCGTAACTTTTGTTAATAAAATAGATTAAATAGCCTACTGGAGAGACGCACAGACGCAGGTAGCAGGGCTCTACGCTTACTTTTATTTTTAGGAGCACTTGTGCTCCTAACTTAAAAAATTTAGGAGCACGTTCAAAATTTTAGGAGCACCTTCTAAACAATTATCCAA